TAATTTATTATTAACAACAATATAAAATGATGCACAAAATGAACTACTACTGTAAAAAATGTGCTTTTTATTTATAAATGTTTATCATATAAATATTATTTTATCTATTCACAGCACACAAAATGTAAAAAATATATATATTTAAAGTACAAAAAACAACTATTTACAATTAAATTTTCAGCTTTTTTTCCTTTTAAACCAATTCAAAATAAAACAACACAAAACACTGCGAACCACAACACAATAAAATATCGATTAAAATATACAAAACAAAAAGAAAAAGATGAACAACCAGATCTTTAATTAAAGGGAAGGTTGGCATTAAGAAATACCAAGTGCCTTAGATTTGAGGAGCTGATCCAGTTTCTTCTGTCATTAATTATCTGTCTGAGATTCTCTCAGAGGGGACTGATGTTGCCACAATGCACAGTCTCCGTATCATCACCTGGGTAAGACGTGGATAAATTGAAGCCTTGGTCAGTGGATCTCCACTTCTCTGGCAGGGGCTCATCACTGTAGGATCTTACTTCCAGTATTGCATCTGCTGAGGGATTCCTTCTGGTAGTGTTTCTAGTTGCTCGTTCTTCAAAGAACACTATTAAGCATTAGTTATTCATCTGTTAAGCATTAGTTAGTGGCTACTTAATTATCTCTACAGCATCTACAAAGTATTTCTCATAATCAGTTAATAGTTTACAAGCACTGCTTTGAACACTTTATTCATGATGAATAAGCTAATGTATAACACTCCTTATTAATTATGTTTTCATGTTCTAAAACTCATTGATTAATCATTTATAAACACTACTCTGCATCAGTTACAAACCTGTCATTTCAGGATGTTCAATGGTATACAAAATCATTGGTAAAAGGTAAGTAGATGGTTAGCATATGTAACCCAGAGTAAAATCTGTTTTACTAGAATTTAGTAATTTCCTGCCATTGAACACATCACAAATACATGACTCCAACCACATGACTTTGCTCAGCCGATCGGCTAATTGGCTGCTGCCAGTCCAAACAATTTGATTTTGATTTTTGATTTGACCGATAGTTGTTGAATAACAAATGTTATGAAGCTATATAATATGTATATAGCAGTTGAAATGTTTTAGTTAAATCCTTATTGGTTAAATATACTGTTTGTTTATTTATTTATAAATTGTGTACACAGGAACAAGAATAACTTAATGTATTTAGCTTAACTGGCTGACATTTTTGTATTATTCTTGTGATTTCTTATTGGCCTTGTTTATTTAATGCAGGCCAGGTGAACCTTTTTGGGTATGGAAAAGGATGGCGAGCCAATGAAGTGGAGTTCAAGTTATTTTACGAAGGAATTAAGGAATTAAGAAGGCATCGGTGGGCAAGTGACGAAAACAGGGCGTTGTTGGAATGCTACTATACAAGTAACCCTGGCGGAAGGGGTTACATGAATAGGATGAGGGACCTATGGATTCTTCGATACCCAACATCCACAATGACGGCGAAACAACTAGTAGCTCAGTGTTCCAACATTCGAAAGAAGGGAGTGCTCTCACAGCTAGAGATTGACAAGGTACAACATAAATGCTACGGCAAGGGCAAGCCAGGACGCTAGGTCATCACCCCCACCCGAGATTGGGTACAAAGCCCCAAGTGCAATAGGAGAAGGATCGTTGAGTGCGAGAGGAACTGACCTGAAAGATAGGATCATGGCCAAGCTTGAGACCTGGATACCCCGTAGCCGGTTACCAAGATTACGTGAAGTACCCTCAGAAGGTCTGCTAGATGATGTTAATGCAGCACTACAGATGATACCTACAGCCACGCTTACCTAGACTAACAAGCTGATCCACTATATATATAAATATATATATGTGTGTGTGTGTATATATCAACAACATCCTTATCAATATCTGATTAAAAGACCCGAATTCATTGAATTAAACATTTATAAATACAATTTAAATTTTCTGTTTTACAAATATAATTTGCAAAACTCTCGTTCTCTTTGAAAGGAATCAATCGTCTTCTTCTTCTGTCCTGGCTTTCTTGTATCCTTTTGCACTGAAAGTGTTAGACATTATGATTTTTCCTTGGTAAATACAGT